AAATACATTTACGAGAATTATGATATCACAATAGTAATGTTTTAAAAGACGGTTTGTATGTATTAGGGAAGAATACTTATAATTACATATAAATTTGTTAGCAATGTTGTCCAAATTTGTTTATATATAGACTTTATTATGGTTGAGTTTTGCTTTAGTATGACTTTAAGTCTTAAGGAATTTATTCCATTATTTATATTCCGCGTAATAAAAATTTTAAAAAACTATGTGATTTAGTTTATTATAATATGTATGTAGTGATTTTAGTCTGAAGTCATCAAAATTGGTTATTTATTATGCATGGATACGAATGTACGAACATAAAAAAGCAAAATATTAAATTTTTGTTCATTTTTCGACTAAGGATTTTTAACACTATATACTTTTCACTACAGTGAATATCATAAATATTACGACAAATGTCACCTGTTTATTTAACTAGAATATTTACACTTCTTCTCACACATTTTAACTTCAAAGTCAAAATGACATGATCAATCTTTTACGTGTTTAACTACCTTGTTGGATCAACATCACAGTGTTCTCCAAGATAATGCACCGATAGATGCCCCATTTGAATATCAAGGAATTTTCGCCAGCAGCAATTGAAGTTATGTGTTTGACATAACTTCCCGTTTGGTAAGAAGCGAGGTCTAACCATACCTTTACTGGTCTTTGGGTCACAACAACCGCAGTAAAAACGCAACTCCACGCCAAATAGAAGGTAAATAAATACAATAATTTTACTCGCATAAGTTTGGGTTTTAATCACGACACTGCCAATCTCAATTGGTCAGAATAGCCGAAGTTGCGAACACTAACCCCCGTAGTAACATATATATATGCACCTCCGGTCGGGTGACACAAGTGAAAACTCATTCACTACCATCTACACTCCAAACAGTGTATAATGGTGCCGGGTTTTTGACAAGCATGCCTTACTTCGGGGGAGTGAATATGATAACAGTCACTAGGAATTAGATTTGATGAATATGAATGGATAATAAGTTCGTAAAATTTGAAAACTTGACTATCGAAGTCGGTGTATTGCATTAGTGAAACAAAACTTTTTTGATTTGAAAATGAGAAAATTTGTGAGATTATATATAGTATTTAAATTCTCCAGTGTTGTTGTTCCGGAATCCAACAATTGTCAGTTATTTCAACATTTTCCGTAAAATAATTAATTACCAATAACATGCCTATACTATCTCTAAAAGTAATAACTATGAAAAGTGTAATATCTTCTACAAATATATATTCAATTTCTACATCTTAGGTGTTGCGGTCAAAACTAGCACCTCTAAATCAAAGACTACTCCATACAATGACTGTTTGTAGATGCAATGATCTTTTGACAGTTAGTTGTACATGTTCACTGCCCCAGTTACGATATTTTGTTTGGTGAACTATCCACCAAACGAACAATGAGTCTCATTATTAAAAAGTTTTTTATTTTACGCTAATACGTTTGGTGCTTGCTGAGAGAACTATATAAAAATTGGCAAATCTTAAACTAAACATATGATTCCGGGGATATAAACTTCTTTAGGTCCTTTTTAAGGTATACTATGTCAATAAGTTTTTTTATACTTATCGGAAATTCTATTCTTAGTCACATCACTCGTTACACTCGTGACTGTGCTATATCATTCCACACCTCATTATATTGTTTTGTTTCCTTAGCTTCTTCCCTTTATTCATTTTATGGGGACTGTGTTATTTGAAATTTTAATAATACAATAGAGTAACATTTTAGATCATATTGCAACATTATTATATTATACCATCAACCAAGTGATTTTTTTAAAATGATTTAAAAAAACTTGTTACTGAAGATAGCGACGGAGAAACCTGTTAATTATTATTGATCGATCGATAGTTTAATGAACAAAAAACTTTTTTTCTTTATACAATATATTTTTATGTTATTAATAACTTAAATCAACATAAAAAACATCTTATTAAATATATTTAATATTTTAATATATCATGTTTTAATTGATTTCCTTATTAAATCATTTTTTTAGCTAATCGAAGTATTATTAGGTTGAGTTATTTATTTTTTAGTTCACGGTTTAATTAATGTTATGTTATTAAGTGAAATAAAATACCAGATCCCAACAATATATTTATTTAAAAATAAAAAGTAGAATAGAACCTACTTTACAGAGTTTTATTGCCTCTTTCGTAAGAATATACATTCCCAGAAGCCTATTCCGTATGTGGTTTGGCGCAGGGCATTCTAATAGTGGTGTTTTAGTCTACAATGTTCTGTTAGAAGTCCTATAAAGATTTTAAGTTTTTCTTTTGTTAGGCAATAAAATATATACATACTAAAATATATTAATTACTAAATTTTAGGACTTCCTTATGTACACTAAACTTAATCCACAAGTTAGACTGAATTATATGAAGTGTAAAAATAAAATAAAATAATAAAAATATATGGTCTCGCTGTGCGAATCCTGGAGTAACATTAGCATGATTTTCTCGGTTTACGTTCCATAATTATGTTCTATACGCAAGAAAGAATAATATAAAAATATACAACAAATAATGTCTCTACAAACAGAATAGTTTTGAAATTTAACAATTAAATATAATTTATTAATTCAATTGTTCTGTGAATTTGTTAATAAAACTTTCACATCAAATTAACAAAACTTTAAGTACGGCTTTGGGTCAGTTGACTAATGAACGCTGACTCTGAGCTTCAAATTTAGCAGGGCACG